CTATGGGAGGGGTGAATATGGGGCTGACACTGTTTGTATTGATGAAAATTTAATCTCTGTAGGTCTCACTTTGAGAATAGTTCCCTGGGGTGAAAGAATAATTGGGAAGAGCAGAAAGGAAGTGACTACTGGGTCTACTTTAGAAATGGGGACATGGTTGGCTGTTGGGAATCCAGCCGTGGATAACTGTAAGCTCCACCTGTGCTTTGGATACCGCTTCGGTGGGTTACCTATGTGGCTTGATATAGTGGGAATAATAAAAGAGTGAATATTTTAACAGATATTGACCACTAAACTGGGAGACACCTTGGGTTTGGGGGAGAAAAACACTATGGAGGAGAGAAAGGGCAAACAATTTGTAGAAACAATTTTAGAGAAGTGTGCTGTGAGGAGGAGCAGCCAGACTGGACAGGAATAGGGAGGAATTGAAGGCATGGTAATTTTGGGCTCAAGGATTCAGTGAAGGCGAAGGCCAAATGAGGGCTTGACCGGAGGAGACTGAGGTACAGGGGAGCTGGTTGATTGTGCAGTATGAGCTCCAGGGTTTGATGGAAGGTGCCTTTGGGAGGTAGACTGGGGCATGTTGGGACAGATTTGGAAGTATAATATTGGTTGATTAATGAAGACAAATGTGAGAGGTGATCTAGTTTAAATAAACAAGGAAGTAAATAAAGAAGATGTGGAGAGACACAGCCTCTCATGGAAATGTCTGGGTGGTCTGTTTTGGTGTTGGTGGCAGTAGCAGTCCCAGGGGAGGTCGCTGCTCTGGTATGTCATATATAACTATGCATCATGAGTTGGAGGAAGGGGCTTTTCAGCCTTTTAAGTGGTCCAATATTAGCGTCTTAGCAAACAGTCTCTTCAAATCCCATGCAATGATATTTTAAATGTCTTGATACAGACCCATTCTCTATATAGCAAGGACTGGTCACCAGAAGAGCACGGGGTATTTCAGGATTACTCACTGTTCACTTGAGTGCTTTCCCCGCACGGTGTGTGTTAGTATGTATTTCAGGGAAATGTTAATTTTGTTTTCCAGGGAGCAAAATCTGAAGCAATCACTCTAAGTTTTCTACCTGCCACTCAGACTAGTGCCGCCATTTTCTACTCAGAAAGAGATAAATACATTGAAATTGTATACCACTGTAAAGGTCACCTTTTAAAACATCAAAATTAGCCATATACAACTGTGGCTTTCCTAAAAACTCCTTTTGCATTTTGTAAAAAAGACCTGTATTTGTAAGACCATTCTCTTTGGCCAATTATAAGCAATACACACCCTTCATTGAACAGTATATTACATTTTACAGCTTAAAATACCAAATATTGCCTAACATCTTTAAAATGACATTTTCAAAAGCCTGCTATGTGGGTGGCCATATTTTATGTTACAAAATGGCTATCGGCTTATTTTATAGGCTAGCACAGCGAGTTTTATTACGGATATCATGTGAAAGCTAAGAGTTCATATTTTAGAAAAATCTTAGTTCCCTTTAATATAAATGATCACAAATCTGTCACCCATGGATGTCCTTACAGCTTCTAGGTGAAGCTATTTCTATTTTCTTTGTGTCCTATAGCCAGTTATTCCTTTTGTTTGAAGCATAAAAATATTTTAGCTAAAGTCCCTCTCTTTGAAGACTTCAAATGTTATATCTTATATGTTTTCAGCCTATTCTTTTTTTTTTTTCTTGGTTTTATAGGTTTAAAGATTTAGATTTAAAAAAAAAAAAAGTCCCTGCCTTTGTCTTCTAAACAGAAATTTCCTAAAGTTAAAACCTGTATTCCAATCACAGTCTACTCCTTCCTCTCTACTTGCTTGTCTGTTTCTCGGGATGTCTTCTACCTCTTTCTGGTCTTATCTGAGACTCAGGTAAGAGTTGGCATGAAGACCTGAGCTTGATGGTCCAGAACCTCTGTTTGAAAAAAGTAAAAATAGCCAGACATGCTAGCGTGTACCTGTAATCCCAGGGCCGGGAGGCAGAGATAGGCGGATCCCTGGGGCTCAGTGGCCAGCCTGTGTAGCCTACATGGGAAGTCCTCGGCCTGTGAGAGACTGTGTTTAAAAAAGAAAAAAAAAAAAGATTGTGTTTCAGGAATGGCATCAGAGTTTGTCCTTTAGCTTCTGCACACACGTGTGCATCTGTGCACACACATGTGCATCTGTGCACACACACATATGTGCCCTGGGAGCCAGAGGATCGGGGCCCCCCAGCCTCTTTGCCGTCTGCACTTTGCTCATGGATCCACCAGTGACATTTCTTGCACAGACAGAGAGACTCTCTAATGAAGTGGAATTTGTAGCCAGCACGGGGCGACAATGGAGGAACCCCTGCCTCAGCTTCTATCGTCCTAGCAATGGGGGGCACAGGTTGGAAAGGACCCCTGGAGTGTCTGCAATGGCTCTCTCACTCCTCTAGCCCGAGCTCTTCATTTTAAGGATGGCACAAATAAATCAAAGGTTTTAAATGATTCACCCTAAGCCATATCCCTGGTAAAAAAAGACAGAGGAGGAAGCAAAATTAGGCCCTTTTCTTCTAAGGGTAGCCTACGAGGGGTATTAAAGGTGATTTATTAGCTTGCCTGGTTAAGTGTATGTATATATATAGCCATGCACTCTCTTCTCTCTGATCCCCTTTCTCATCATCAAAGAGCACCTGTGTTGGGTGTTTTATTTCCAGGTGTTGGGAGTCTTATTCCTTTGGTTGTAGAATTTTCCTCCTTCATGACATGTAAAGTCTTATGTGTCTATAACCCACAGTCTTCAGGGAAAATGGTGTTTATGAACAAATCTCAAAGGCATATTATGGCTAGATTGGCAGCTTATAAATGTCATAATTCTGCAGTAAGGACTCTGAGGAATGTGGAATTATGGAAAACTATTTCTGCCTATAGTTTATAAAGTGGGCAGATAAGAAATCTCTGTATATTGTAAAAGTGTAGTGTGAGACTAGATCAGAATCTAAGGACCTTTCTAGAACACACATGGTTATTTTTTATATAAAGTGGCTCACTGACCTTTTATAAGCCCAGAGTAAGAGAATGTAACTAAGAAGGAATAGTCTAGAAGACACAGGCTCTAAACTTTAAAAGACAGGTGTGTGATTTTGTTAATGGAGATGGTGGGAAGCACACTATAATGTGGATATAAAATTTTTACATGGTCATAACATCAATAATATTCTAGAAGGAGCTGAAACATGTTCCATGGACATAAAGAGAATATGAGAGAAAAGTAGAGGATAAAGTTGGGAAAAGAAATTGTTGATAAATTATAATTTCTTTTCTCAGGAAAATTACAAGTAAGGTAATTTGGGTTCCTTTTCTAGACGAATGTGACTAGAGGAATTTTAGGGAGTGAATGCTGGTATGATTATGTCATCCCAGAGCGTCACATGAATGGATTCACTGGAGTGTTTTTTTTTTTTTTTTTTTTTTTAAATCTGGCTTCTTTCGCTTAGCAGAGTGAATGTGAGAGCTTGCCCATGTCATTGAACATAGTTTGTCTCGGTGTCTGAGTCATATTCCATTGCTTGCATGGACCGTATTTTACTCTCCAGTTCCTGTTTGGGTTGTTTGTGGTCCTAGGGAGTGACATCATTTGCTTTCACTCTCTTTGAGTTTATCTGCTTTAGAGGTTTCCCACAAGTGGGAACTCACAGTACATGTCTTTCAGTATGTGGATTCCTTCTCTTTGCATGATGGTTTTGTGGTACATGAATGGTAGACTATTTATTAGGACTTTTTTTTTTGATTCTACAATTGAGTAATTGTTCATCTATTACCATATAATATTGCATTGGTTAGTTCTTCCTTCATATGATGAGCCATGGTGTTGTTTCTATATTCTGAATAATAATGTTCTAAACATTGGTGTATGAGACTTTGTATGGACATGCAGTTCCAATTTTCTTGGGTCTAAATAAATAGGACTAAAATTTTTGGTGCCCAATTTTTAAAATTAAGATTTATTTTAGTTTGTATGTGTGTGTGTCTGTGTCTGTCTGTCTGTCATCTGTCTGACTGCCTGCATAGAGGCCAGAATAGGAATTGTGTTGTATCCCTTGGAGCTGGAGGTCCAGGCATTTGTGGACTTGTTACTTGCTGGAACCCAAACTCCCATCCTCATGATTGTACGTTAGGCACTCCTAATCATGGATCTATCCATCTTTCCATCCCAGTACCTATTTTAAAAATGATTTGTCTATGTCCCACTAGGAAGCTTTGAGGTATATAATGTTAAGTGTTGACTATACAGGTGTGTATCTTTTCCAATTCAAATAACTTCCAGTGCTCTAGTTTTGATGTAGAACTAATGAAACATTCATAGAAGCTTATTTGCCCAGTGTCTTCTAAATATTATTAAATATTAAATTAATATCACTAAACATTGTTATGGTATTAAAGATGTTAAATCAAATATTATTAAATCAACTTGTATTTACTTGGATTATTAGCAAGTGCCAGAATTTATTTTCTTTGTAGTGTTGGGGATTGGGCGCAGGGCCTTGTGAATATTAGGCAATTGCTTTATTATTGAGCTGCACACATTAGCCCTTACATTACTTGTTTTTAAATCTTAAAATTTTTTTGATTTTGCTCCTTCCCATTCATTCGGTGATACATGAATATGTGTTGATATTGCCTTTTGATTGAAATCGCTCTTATGGCAGCCCATGGATATTGGCATAAATCTATGATGTACAAATAAATCTGTTAATGTACAAATATGATATGTAAAACACAGGCACAATTATTTGATGGTGTGGCTATGATTTTGTTAATATTTCTATGTTTCTGTATTGGTATCTCACAAATCACTTAAAATTTCCTTAACGTTTATTTTAGACCAACAGATGAAGAAATCACACAGTTACATTTGATGGCTTAAAGGGTGGCAGTTCCTCTGAGGCTAGCTGTTAATTTTGTCTTAGGTACACATGATGTATGATGTCACCGTGTAAGTCACAGAACTGTGTCTGCCATATTGTTTCTTTCAGCATCGCTGACAGACAGAGTGCCTTGGAGGCCGAACTGCGGACAGTGCAGACTTCTCGTAAAGACTTGGAGAACTTGGTCAAGTGGCTTCAGGAAGCAGAAACCACAGTGAATGTGCTGGCAGATGCCTCTCAGCGGGAGAATGCTCTTCAGGACAGCGTCCTGGCCAGGCAGCTCAGACAGCAGATGCTGGTAAGTGTGTGGGAAGCCATGGGCAGCAGTCTCCTACTGAACCCTGTGTGGCCACCTGTACATTGATTACTGTTCCAAGGTGAGGTTGTCCACTCATTCAGTTATGGAATACATGCAGTCCAGTGAATAACTGGTTTCTTAGATATGATCTACAGAATACTTTTATACTTAATATTAGGGTAAAGATCCACCTTTTTTATGCAAGTAATGATTGTGTATTTACAGGTACTCAAGGTTGCTTGGTTTTTTGTCATTTTAAGCCCTTGTACCATTAGTGTTATTGAGTACTAAATTATAAGGGTATTTCCCCTTCATATGAATGGAGAATTATTATAAATTATTATATTATTTTAATACTTACTATAAATATATATATTTTACTTATAATACACTTATTATAAATACTTGTTATAGAAACTTCTCATCTCTGTGACTCATTTAGAGTCAAAGCTCTTAAGCCTAAAAGCATTTTATATATATATTTTCTTTATAACCGTAATTGCATACATAGTCTGAGGTTCAAATCTCATTCTAAGAAATGTGATAATATTAAAACTTTTCTTTAAAACAAAGTTGTGTGAAATTTTACGAAACATGCCAAAATTCCTCTTCCAATTCCAAGTACCGGCACTTCTGTGCTCTTGAGTTGCCTTCTCTTATTTTGGGTATGTGGAGTTTCCTCTTCTTGTCAGTCATAGGTAAACCTTCTCAACTACAGCTCAATTCACAAGTTACTTCAGTGGGGGCGTCTCCTGTGTGCCCCAGCTCTACATCTCCTTCCTTCTCCATGCTGTGAATCATTTGCAAACACGTGAATTCATCATGTGAGCTACTGTTTCCTGATATTCCAGTGAGCATGCATTCTACTGCCAGTTGATGCCTCTTTTTACCTACCTTGGTTGGTCACACAGTTCTTTGATGACAGGGATGCTATTCTTGTTGTTCACACAGTGTTCCAGGAGTAGATCCTGAGCAAATATGCTTGACTTTGACTTCTACAGTTGAATCCATTCTTGGGGATATTATTCTCTTGAAACATCTAAAAGACCCTATTGTAAAATGTCATCAACTATGTGGGTCTGGATTAAAAGTCCAGAGACGTTCTTGAAACCATAATTCTTAAAATTGGAGTTCTTGTGGGACTCCTAACAGTAGATGTGGGGTTCTCTCTAACTCTTTTGTCTGCTCTTGGAACCTTTCCCCTTCCCTACTGGGTTGCCTCATCCATCCTTGATATGAGGGTATGTGCCTAGTCTTATTGTAACTTGTTATGCCGTGTTCTGTTGATATCCCTGGGAAGCCTGCTCTTTCCTAAAGGGAAATGGTAGAGGAGTGGATCTGGGGACAAGGGGAGGTGGCGGTGGCGCGGGGGGGGGGGGGGGATTGGGAGGAGTGGAAGGAGGGGAAACTGCAGTTGGCATGTAATATATGAGAAAAGAATAAAATATTTTCTGTTAGGAATAATTGTCATTCAATGTGTTAAAAACATGAGTGCTGTAGCTTCACCGCACCATCCCATACAAATGAAAAAAAAAAAAACCTCACACAAAATGAGTTTGAAGAACCTCTTTTAAAGCAAACCCATTTAGAATGGGCTTATATATAACTCGCCCTTATGTGTGAAGATTGTTATTGTTTCATAGTGAGATGAAGAAGAGTCCGAGAGGCTGGGAAGAGTGGCTTCGTGGGCAATGCGTTTGCCACAGAGGCGTGAAGACCTGAGTTTGGATCCCTTTACTCATGTAAAGAGCCTAGTGTGGTGGTAGTCTGATGGTCTTGTGGTGTGTCTCTAGCCCAAGCTGTGGGTAAAAGGGTGGAGACAGGGAATCCCAGGGGCTTAGTAGCTGGCAGGTCTACCACAAACTATGGACTCCAGCTTGAGTGAGAGGTCATGTTTCAAAAAATGGAGAGTGATTGAGGAAGACATTTGATGTCAACCTGTCACCTCACATGTTCACGGATGGCCAAGTACAGCCACGTAGACACATGCACACAAAGGCACCCCCCCTCCAACACAAATAAAGTTTAAAAAGAAAGAAAAAGCAAATAGCAAGGAAATCGTCTGTTTGCTTATTGCTTATTGCTTATTCATTGCACACAACTTTTGTCACTGGGTGATGAGTGTGACCATGAAAGCAGCCAAGTTAAATGTGTTCTTTTGTCTCACCCTTTGGATTCTCAGAATGTGACCATTAATGTGAATTGCTAAAATATTTTGAGTTCATCTGGATATTAGGAGTCTATAGCCAGCGTCCAGTGTGGGTAAATGGGGAACTATGTTGCTTACTTTATGATTTTGGCAACTGTAAGTTTGAGCTGCACATGCTCACAGATATTTAATTTATGTAATGGTGTTAATTTCAATGCTATTTAGACGATGCACTCCAGTAAGCAACAACTTACAGTGAGGAAAGAAGACTTCAAATGAACCCTGCTAATGACTACCACCAGCAGAACCTAGACCCGTGGCAGAGTCTAATGATGTTTTCTCACACATTTTCTCTTAGGATATATTCTTACCATAGCTCCAGCTCCTCTCAATATTTAATGAATATTCAAGCTATGGGAGAAATAAATTTAAATAGAAATGCTAGGAATCTTTTAAATAAAAATAACTAAGCTGAAGAGCCCTTGTCTTATGGCAAACGGTGACAAGCTGAGAAGCTGCTGGCTAAAATATGAGAAGATAACGTGTACGGTAATTGCTTCTCAAAAATAATTTAATGTTGCTAAAATAGTCTGTTTGGGTTCATGTGAACGAGGACCTTTGCTAACAGCTGAGTCAGATACCTGTGTATCTGAAGATACATGTGCATTTATTTGTCTTCAGGTTGTCTCACCTTATGGTAATTTATATGGTTTTCACTTTTGCTCCTATACTGGATGCTCAGCTCTCCCTCTGTTTTACTTAAAAAAAAAAAATGCATGACTTTGTTTTTGGCACCTTACAGGTTCATGTTTGTTAGAGACTTAGTGCCTTTGACTGAGCATTTTTGAGATAAAGGAATTTTACATTTCCCATGGGCTTGTATATTATTCTTAATTGTGTGAGTGATTTCAAATGGAAAGTTATTCAGAAATGGAAAGATGTTTGAAGAAACCAGAGAAGACATGAAACTATGAAGTAAATTTGCTGGTGTTGAGCTACTGGTAGTGGTGAGCCACCTGAGATTTCTGTGAAAGGTGTGGTAGTGACTTCAGCATATTTGTGTTACATGATCAGGGGATGGATGGCTCTATCCTGTTATCTATCTATCTACTATCTATCTATCTATCTATCTATCTATCTATCTATCTATCTATCTATCTATCCTGAGATGACATGTTCACTGTTTATATTTGATTCATGTCTTGTGCCAACCAGATGTTAAACCACAGAGGTATTCCATGGAGATACAATATATAAACCATGTTCAGTTTAAAGATGATCCTGGATATATTTTAATAAAGAAGGGCTTGGGAGCATAATAGCAGATGAAGACTTTCTGGGCCTGTGATTTTCAGCATGCCATTTCTGTTAAGGACAAGTGATCATTTGGATTCTTATATTTATGTTTTGGATGTTCTCCTCAGCAGAGGTTTTTTAGCAAGAGAACACTTAATCTTGAGGACTTGAAGGAAAGAGAAGCTCCTTGAGAGCTGACCAGTACATGGAGGGCCTTGTGCACCTGGCTATGTATTTTGTGTTCAATCTGCTGGTGATGGGAGATGTCATAAAGGGGATTAAACAAGAGAGTGAATTGGTAAAGTCTTGACTTTCAGGAATCTAGCTGATGGCGTTGTTAGAAATGGATTCGTACTTCATGACAGAAACAACAGGGAGCCTGCTAAGATACTCAGGTAGCTGTGCATGCCAAGGTGATAGTAACTAGAAATATAGCACTGTCTTGAGTCTAGGGCCTTGGTTGGGAAGGATTGGAGACAAGATTGTGTGTGGTGGTCCAGTTTGAGGTTCGGAATGTAGAAGAAGGTGTCAGAGCAAGAGTACAAACTCATTTGGAGGGTGAAGGGGGATGGCAGGTTCTCTTTTGATTAAACCACAGTGAGATGTGTAAGTAGCATCCAGGGGAAGGTGCCGAATTTGGCTATTTATTTTTTAAGGAGACGCTGTTGTTGGTTTAAGAACCAATTTATTAATTGGCACATTCATCTTAATTTTCATAGCCACAGTCTAGGACAATCATTTTTTTTAATTACATTTTTAATTGAAGCTCTGAATTTTAGCAGTATCAGTTCAAATTGAGACACTTTTCTGGATAAACGCCTGCATCCCTGTGGCTTTTATGGAGTGCGTGCGAGAATGGGCTGGGTTTGCTCTGAAAGACTTTGTGGTTTAGAATCTTTGTGTTGTCCTGCCCTGTGCTTGCTGCTAGCCTGGTTTTGCTCTTTGGCCTTGTAGAAGAAGGCTTCCCAGATCGTCCAGCTCCTCCCCTGTACCCAACACTGTGCTTGTGCGGCAAACACCTGTTTCATCTGCTGGCTCTGGGACAGGACTTATGCAAGGGAAGCATCCTTAATAAAACAATCTGAAACCAAGACACTCTAAAATCCATAAATTGTTGAATGCTAACATGATGCCTCCCAGGGAAGAATTCCACACCATGATGTTTTGTTCCATGCACAGAATCCTTAATAATGTTAAAGAAATAATCCTCAGGGTTACTGCATAAGGTATGTGTGAAACACAATGGACTGTTGTGTGTAGGCTTGGATTCTACCTCTGGAATTCTCATTGTGTTTATGCAGATGTTTTATTCCATAATGCAAAAACCAGAAGCCCCAGACACTCCTGGTCCCAAGCATTTCAGGTGAAACATGGCTCAACTTGTAACTTCACATTTTTATAGCAAATCTCCTTACTGTGAGTCACACATAATGCACTGTTTATTTACATTCTATAATTCAATTCTTTTGTATACTCAGAGATGCGTAGCCATAGCTACTGTCGATGTAGAGCATATAACACCTTAGAAATCCACTTTTCCCTCTAGGATCAGTCC